GGCGTCCAATCGGCGTTCGAGAAGATGGACAACTCCATCGCGGATGCGTTGGCTAAACGTGGAACCGCTTTCAATATGCCGGTATTTTTTCGCGTTGAGGCTTTTCGCGGCTGCAGGAGTCTCCACGAGATGCTGCTACAATCTGTGGGTAGACCTCAGGCGTGGCTGCACGATTGCAATCCAGGGAGCCGGGGCTATCATTTCCTTGGGAAAGCAGACGGACCGCCAGGTCAGCCTGATCAGATTAGGCCAGTTTTGATGATTGGGTAACCCCCGTGGAGGTCGATCTGGGGGATGAGCTTGCAGGTTTTTTAGACCCGTGAAAGGTTGCTTTGCGGAAGACCCAATTGTGGATTCGCCGCGCTCCATGACGTGTTGCACCACTTGCTGCCAGCATGTTTGTTCGGATTCTCGCAACCGCCGAGGGCTGGCTCAGAAGCGCAAGGGTATGCGCGGCGGCGGCAGAGAAGCTGAAACCACGCAATTTTTGTTTGATAACCTCAGGCACCCAACGTCGATTCGGCGCGAAGTGCGGTTGGAGCCGCCGCGCTCGCCATATGGGTCAGCTCGCGACATTGTCAGGCAGGCCAAAAAGTTGGAGCAGGAGGACAAGGCTTTTCAGACCCAAGTCCCTCTGAGGAAGCATCGGCTCGTGGACGCATCCAAGATTATCCGAGGGCGTGGCCTCGGGCGCGAGGAAGCTGGTACGCTAGGCCGTATTGGTGAAGATGATGATGACCATGAGGAATCAGAACAAACGGTGCAGCGCAGTGGTGTTTGATCCGCGCTTGTGCCGTCTATCCATTTATATTTTATTAGGCCTTGCGCGGTCGTGTTTGATCTGCAATGGTGTCGTCAACTCGTTCATCTTTCAAATCCTGCCTCGTGCAGGTTCATTCGTCGCGGCAGGTGTGGCCCTTCCTGGGCGATTGGGGTTGCAGCTAAAGTGGCTATTGCGTGCCATGTGTGTGTTGCACCCACACAGCATTGGTTTGCCGTGGGCGGTTCGGCCTTATGCGCGCCTCGTCGTCCTGGGCCTCCTGGAGTTCGGCCACTTTCTCAACTCGCTGGGTCTTGTGGGTTCCGTTTGTGCCGTCTCGCTGCTGGTCCACATGCGGCTCGTGTTCCTGGCCTCGACGCTGGGAGCCCGGTGGGATGTTTTCCACGGGTCGGTGGGCTTCGTGCTGGTGAGCGCGGGCTTGCCGCAGGCCCCGTGCCCCCTGGCCCCGCCGCGGGCCTTCTGCGCGAGGCACGCAGGTGCCTCTTCCTTCCTCCTGTTGCCAGTGCGGTGCTCCTGGCCTTCGGGGTTCACTGTGCTGGTGTTGGGGGGTGGGCGGTGGTGCTCGGGTGCATCCCGCCCGCCTGACTCTGGATCAGCTTCCCGCTTCTGCTCCCGCTCGCTCGCTCCACGTCCTCCTCCTCCTCCTCCTCCTCCTCATCCTTCTCCTCCTCCTCCTCCTCGCCCCCCCCACACCCCCGGTTTTTGTGCGGGTGCCGTGCGCCCAGGCTGGTCCTCGCACGCGCGAGTTCTCTTCGCCGTGTTTGTCCTGATTCCCCTCTTGCCCCTCATCGTCTTCGCCCCCCCCCCTCCTCTCCACTCTCTCGTCGCGCGTGGCAGCCGTTTTTGGCAACCACCCTGCCCACTCACTCCTCGCCTTCCTCTCTTGTAGTTTTCGTCCTCGTCCCTCTCGGGTCTCACGCTTGCATTTGCCGCGCTGGCTACAGGAGACGAGCCGCGGGGGATGCAGGCTCAGTTTACCGTGTTGCGTTCCGAGGAACAGCACGCGAATAGTTCCTCGCCGATGATCGCAGGCGTCGCGCGTCGGACCCCGCACAGTCAGTTCGTTGAAACTGGGTCCAGTTCGAAGTCGGACAGGGGCTCGGTGGTTCCTTCAGGTTCGCATTCGTTCCTTTGTTTTTTGGGGTGACGAGCCCCTTGAGTGCTCTTCCGGACTTTACCGCCGTCCCTTCAGATTCCACGGTTCGACTTGGAAACAAAAGATGCCTCGTTCCTTCTTCACCGTTCCTCATTGCCGCTGCCCGACAGTATCCTCCTGCGCTGTCCTGGGGCCCGCCTTGGGGACTGCGTCGGGGCATGCCTCGGGGCGCGCTCTGGGGCCTCGGGGGCCAGAATCCCGCCGATCCAGGACGTGAATGAGCCCGCCCGGTATGTGCCATGAGGTGTAGGGGGAAGCGCTTGACCAAACTGGTTTGGGGCGCTCTCTGGGGCCTCGGGGCTCGCCCCAGCGCCGCTGCTGGAGCTGTTGCGGGATGGGGTGCGGGGGCAGAGGGCGGCGGCGTCTCCGTGGAACGTCGCCGCCCTGGGCCGCCGCGCGCCAACGCGTCCGCCTGCCCCCGGGAGATGGGGGAAGGGGGGAGGGGGAAGGAAGGAGGAGGAGCAGGAGGAGGAGGGGAAGAACGAGAAGGAGGAGGAGGAGAGGGAGGGAGGAAGAGGAGGAGGAAGAGGAGGAGGAGGAGAATGCTGGCGGTGTTGGTGATGGTCATGGTGATAAAATTGTGATATTGATGATGATGCTGATGATGATGGTGATGATGATGAGGATGCTGATGATGATGAGGATGAAGATGATGGTGGTGGTGCTGCTGATGATGACGATGCTGATGGTGATGATGATGGTGATGATGCTGGTGATGATGATGGTGATGGTGATGAGGATGGTGATGATGCTGATGCTGTTGATGATTATGAGTATGTTGGTGCTGATGATGATGATGATGCTGATTCGGATGAGGTGGAGGAAGACGAGGAGAAGGAGGAGGAGGAGGAGGCTGCTGCTGCTGATGACGACGACGATGATGATGCTGCTGGTGATGATGATGGCTATGATGATGATGATGCTAATGCTGATGATGATGATGATGATGATGATGATGCTGCTGATGCTGATGCTGATGCTGATGCTGATGACGAAGATGACGGCGATGCTGCTGCTGTTGCTGATGATGATGATGATGATGATGATGATGATGATGATGATGATGATGATGATGATGATGATGATGATGATTCGATTCGAGGCGGCTGAAGGCGAACCTGGAGCACGTAGGCAAGGTTGCTGGCAACGCAGTGCGGGGCCTGCAGGGTGCGCTGGCTCGGTGAGAAAGCGCAGGCGGATGGGAAAAAACACCACGTGGGTGGAAAACCTCCGGCTCCCAATCTGGGAAAATGACAAGAGCTGAGGGCGCCGACCAGGGGCGCTAGATATGGAGGCGCCTGTGCAGGGCGCTGAAATGAATATGGAATGGTCTCCGGCCTGGCCAGGAAGTCAACGAATTCTCAACAAATCTACTGACTTCCCTGCCCGCGCTGGGTGACGCTATGCGGACGGTCCCCTTGACGAAGCATCCGCGGGCTGCAACTCTGCTGCGGGGCGTGGCGGGCAGAGAGCGCGAGTGCGCGTTTCGCCCCTCGCTGTGCGGCCGCGGTTGGACGCCGCGTCGGCCCTGTCGGCTTCGGCGACCTGGGAAGCCGAGAAGGCAGGAAAGTCTCCCTGCATCATCCGGGCTCTGCACTGCTTGCTGGAGAATTGGAGGTGGTGGAGCGCGCGGGGGCGCGTATAGAAATCCTTGGAGCAGGCTGGGCACTCCGTGCCAAGGATGTTAAACCGCGCCTGCATTTTTATGCCGTGCGCGTGCCTCCTGTGAGCGGCCAGGCCTTTGGGGCCGCGGCATTCCTTCTGGCAGTCAGGGCATGTCAGAGTCGGGACCGGCGCGGTCACCCGCCCAAGCGGGGCAGGTTGCTTCCCTCGCTGCCGGCGCATGGCCGCCTGGGACTGCGGTGCCTCGCAAGGGCATGCGCGGAATGCGTGACAAAGCCGCCTCCATCTCGCGGGCTCCGACAGGATGAACTCGCGCCAGGCGGCTGGAAAATGAAATGGGTCTGCGAGGGCCTGCGTTTCCGCCGGAAATGCGGCTGCCAGATGCCTGAGGTCCGTCAGGAGATGGGTGGCAGACGCGGGCTTGGGCACGGCGGCAATGCAGCGCATCACCAGCGGCGGCGCCTGCAGCTGCGAGCCAAGGCCTGCAAGACGCTGCGCCCGCACCAATGAGGCGAGCGGTGGGGCCTGCAGCGCGGTCCTCACCTCGAGGTCCGTCGGCGTGCCGGGGGCCCCGAAGCGCATGGAGCCGTGAATGCGGCGAAGCACTCGGTGGTACTGGGCCTCCAGCGGGAGCCATCCTCTGTCGAGCTGACCTCGCCATGCCGCCACTGCAAACAGGCTGCGCGAGAGCACGAGAGAGTTGGCGAGCTTGATCCTGGTGGGCTCCGCAATGGCCTTGGAGCCGAAGATGGGGACGGCCAGCGGCCCGAAGGCCTGCTGCGCCTTCGCCGCCTTGCGTCGACCGTCGGCCTGGTGGCCTCCAGCGTCCTGGTGGATCCTGCCCAGGTGGGTGAAGTGGTGAACGATCTCCAGGGCGAAGCCGCCCGGGGAGGTGAACTGCTCGCGTCCGTTCTCCAGGAGTGCGCTCTGGTGGAGCTTCCTGGAGCCGTCGCCGAAAAGCTTGATGATGATGATGATGATGATGATGATGATGATGATGATGATGATGATGATGATGATGATGATGATGCGGAGTATGATGATGGTGCTGGCGATGGCGATAGTGGCGGTGGTGTTGGTGGTGGTTGTGATGATGCTGCGGCTGCTGACGATGATGATGATGCTGATGCTGCCGATGATGATGAGGATGCTGCTGATGATGCTGATGATGATGATGATGCTGCTGATGATGATGATGATGATGCTGATGATGATGCTGATGATGATGATGGTGAAACGGAGACTGAGTAGAAGCAGCCGCAGAAGCAGGGAGCAATGCGCGGTGGAGGAGGAGGCGGCGGGAGGAGGAGGGACGGAGGTGGAGGAGGTGGATCTGCGAGCGAGACGGAGGAGGAGGGGAGGGCGGGGAGGACGGGGAGGAGGTGGGGGTGGAGGAGGCGGATCTGGGAGGAGCGGGGACGCCGCGGCGCCGCCGCCCAGGCCGCGCGCCATCGCATCCGTCGGCCACCCGGGGCCCGTCACCAGCTTCTTCAGCAAGGCCGAGGGGCGGGGGGGCCCAGACCGCCCATGCCTTGAGCAAGATCAAGGCGGAGGCCTCTCGCCACTCTAGGCCTGTGAAGGCCGTTTTCGGGCTCGGGGGCAGCCGAGAGCTGCCTCAGGGAAGAGGTCGAGAGATCTGGGGCCCGTCACCAGCTTCTTCAGCAAGGCTGAGGGGCAGGGGCTCCCAGACCGCAAATTGTTCGAACAAGGCCAATCGAAGAAGAAACATCTGTATTAGCATCTGCTTTTGCCAGTCCGCGCGGGTGCGCTGGGACCCCCTGGCGGCGTCTCTGGCGCAGCCCCTGGCGCGCTCCGCGCGCCAAGGAGGGTGGTCAAACGCAGACCCAAGTAATCTGGGCGGACCGTCGGAAGTATAAGGTTGAGCCGTCTTCTGTGCCTCTAACCAAGGCGAAGGTCTTTCGCCATTCCAGGCCTGCTGAAGCCGTTTCCTGGCTCGGGGGCCGCCGGGAGCGACGCCAAAGAGAAGAGTTGCTCCCAGAAAGGGGTCAAGAGATTCGGGGACCTGTATTGAAAAAGTCAAGACATCGGAGGCCTGGGTTTGAGGGTCCACGGAACGCAGGATTGCCCAACGTAGGCTTCGCCTCGCTGACCTCCGCCGGTGGCGTCGGAGCCCGTGAAGGCCTTCAGCAAGCCGACTTCAACGTAGACAAGTGCACCTTAGCATTTGCACAGGCCTTCTGGATATTGGGCACGACCCAACCGGACTTCTTCTCCTACTCGTCTCTTCATCCCTTGTCATTAGAGGCCACTTTCTCGTCATCCTCCCCCCTCTGAGCAAATGCCCTCCACTTTTTTTCTCCTCCCTTGTCGTTCCTCCTCCTCCTCCTCCTCATCCTCTTCCTCCTCTTCCTCATCATCCTCCTTCTCCTCCTCTTCCGTCTCGTCCTCATCTCGTCCTCCCCACCCCCTATCCTTCCTAGACTTTCTATGTACATCAAACCCTCCTGGCCCCCCTCCCGAGAAACTTACACCAACCGTCCTCCTCCTCCTCCTCCTGACAGCCTCGCCAGGCCCAGCTGCCAGCATTCCTTTACAGTCGGACCAGGGCCTTGCTGGCCCTACCTGCTTTTGGAATCCTCCTTGTGAGCCTCAGCACTCGGAGGGCCCTGAGGCGGTGTCCCCCTCTCGTCCCCGCGTTGCGCCCGTAGCGGTGTTGAAAAACGGCCTTGAGAAGAGCAGGGCCGCCGCGAACCCTGCTCTTTTTTGTGCAGATAAGTCTAACTCTTATTTTGTGGCCTATCGGCCGTTCTCCCGTCGCCCCCCTCCTGACATGGACGGCGTGTCGCGGCCTACAAGTCGGTTCCGTGGCTTGTTAGCGGCTGTGCGTCACACGCTCTGGAGGGCTGCGCGAATTTTGAATGGAGGACGGACGACCCACACTTCCCTGCCAGCTGACTCCCCTTGTAAGCTGGCCAGTTTTGGACACAGGTCACCTTTTTTACCCCGTCCTGGGCTTTCCAGGCGCGGGTAGCCCTGTGGAGATGGTGCCTGGCCCCAGGATCTCTCCCCCTCCTCTTCCGTGCCTCACTCCTTCCTCTCCTGGCCAGGTCCAGGGGTCTGACGGGCTGAGTTCGGTGCAACTGTTGATTCGAAGTATGAATGTGAACTCGTGGGGCACGCTCAAGAAGCTTTTGCCTGACACGCCTGCCAACGTCGTGTTGGTGCAGGAGCATCGGCTGCTCCACGCTGAGAAGATTCACGCGGCTTCTCAGTGGTGTGCTCGAAATGGTTGGAAGTCTCTCTGGTGTCCCGCCTGTGAGACCGATTCCGACACCGCAGGAGGTGTCGCCGTGCTTGTTCGTGATTGGTTCGGCCTCATTTCTCCTGTGGAAGGGTTTGTTGTTTCCAAAGGCCACGCGATGGTGGCCGATGTTCAGGTCCCAGGGGGCTTCACTTTCAGGATCGGGAGCGTTTATTTGCACCACAGTGAAGGCCTGTCGGAGCGAAACTTGGAAGCGCTGGCCTCCTTAGGGGCGAGATGTTCGGGGTTCCCTGGTTCGTTCGTGTTGGGAGGGGATTTCAACCTTCCCCCTCGCACCTTACTGCTTCCAAGTTTGTCTCTGAATTGCAGGGCCAGCTGATTGACCCAGACGGCTGCACCTTCTTTGGGGATGGAGCCCCATCCAAGATCGATTTTTTGTGTGCAGTGGAGGCCTTGGAAAGGCTGCTGCTTCTTGTGAAGTTGCTATGGGCACGGAACTGAGCCCGCACCGTCCTGTCGATTTTAAGTTCCACCCCGCGCCTGCTTCGTTGAAAGCCTTGAGTTTCCGAAAGCCTCCCCCGCTCCCCTCGGATCCTGTGTTTGGTCCCAAGCCCCTGCAGCAGGACTGGAATCAGGTTCTGGACATGGCTCATGAGGGCCTTCGAGAGGTTGAACGCGGGAATGGTACTCGGGCTGCTAGTCTCCTCGCCCTAGGCTACGGTGCCTGGGCTGACGTTGCGGAAGCGGAGCTGATTCCCGTCTTAGGTGCCGACGTGATCAGGAAGGGGACGAGGAGTGCGGGGCCTCAGCTCATGTGGAGATCGGTGGTGGGACGGGGTAGCAAGCCAAGGTACCCTGCCCACAGGGCAATAAAGTGGCTGGGGGCTCGGTTTCGTAGTCTGGTCTCACTGCACAGGGACAACCGAGGTTTGTCTGCACAGGCGCAGGCCATCCACGCTTATTTTCTTTGCTGGCCTGCCTCTGTCTCTTGCCACACGAAGGAGTATCAGAGCTCATTCGATTGTATCAAGCGCTTCGTTCAACAGCACCCCTCATCCCAATGGTCGATGGAGGTGGTAGCTCTTGGCGAGGCGCAGCTGGAGGGTCTTAAGACGACCCTGGCCGAGGCGGACGCGCGGCATAGAGCCAGGTCCACTGCGGATTGGCGTTCTTGGTTGACCGCTGGTCTGGACAAAGGGAGCCAAAAGGGTCCACATCATCACTGAAGACCCTTCGCCCTGGAGGCCGACGACGACGTTGGCGGCGGACGGCTCGGTGGTGGCTGACCCGTTGTCTTTGCTCGCTAAAGAAGGAGACAAGTTCAGCAGTTTCTGGGGCCAGGCCTCTGGAGAGGCCAAGAGTGTGACGCTTGCTCAAGCGTTTCTTAGGGCGACTCCTGGCCAGCTTCGAGCCGTGTCCAAGCGATACAAGGCGGGCTCGGCCGTCACTTATGACGGATTTGACTGTAGGCATTTCCACTTGCTTTGCGACGACGGTCTCACTGCTGTGGCTATGCTTTTCGAGTTGATGGAGTCGGTTGGAGTGCTGCCTAGACAGGTCCCTGCTGTCTTGATCGCCCTCCTCAGCAAGCCGGCAGGCGGCTTCAGGCCGATAGGGGTGTTTTGCTCCTGGCACAGGGTGTGGGGTCGCCTCAGGCGGCCCCACGCCCTGGACTGGGAACGACAACGCCCCCGTCGGTACTGGGCCGCAGGGGCTTTCAGAGGAGCGTCAGATGTGGTGTGGCGCCAGTCAGTCCGAGCTGAGTCAGGCACAGCCAGGAAGCTGTGCAGCGCCAGCGTTTTTTTTATGACATGCTCAAATATTATGAAACGATCAACTTGGATATGCTGGAAGGTCGATGTCGTCGTCATAACGTTCCTGAAGTCATCACTAGGTTGTCGATCCATGCCTACAGGTGCGGCCGTTTCATCTCTGTTGTTGGCGTGCTGGACGGTCCCTTTTTCGTGATCAATGGGGTTGTTGATGGATGCAGCTTTGCGACTTCGCACATCCGGGTTTTCGCGATGGATGCGTTTGACCAGCTCCCTCGGCACAAACTGTTAGAGCTCGATGCGTACATCGATGACACGGGAGTCTCGAGCACTGGCAGTCATAAGCAAGTTGTCCAACAGATCGTGTCGACCTCTATCATGTTACATCACGTCATCACCAATGACATGGGTTTCCAGCTGTCTCTTGATAAAGTTTGCACGGTTGCCTCCAGCAAGAAGCTGGCTAGTGACTTAGCCATCGCTCTTGGTCAGTTAGGGGGTAGAGTGCGTGGTTCCACTGTCAACCTTGGCGTTGATTTTTGCGCGGGCCGATCGGCCCGAGTTTCTGGCAGGAATTCTAAGATGAAAGCCAGGGCTGCTCTCATGTGTCGCAAAGCTAGGCGGCTCAAGAAGCAGTCGGAGCATGTTGGTAGAGCGGCCCGCAGGATCTTCGCTGCTGGCCCCCGCGCTGGAAGGGGCCTATGGAGCGGAGATCTTGGGGGTCAGCGACCAACAGCTTCTCGTGATGAGACGCCAAGCTTTTTCGACCGTGCGCCCTTTCGCCAAGGGCCGCTCTCTCACGGCTGTCAGCATTCTTTCGGATGATCCCTGTTGGAGAGCGGCCAGTACCCCGATACTTCGATGGAGTAAAGAGATATGGATCACTCACACGAGGATATTTGATGGCTCTCTCTCCTTTGAAGGCTTTCTGTCTGCGTGGAATGCCGTTTTCTCGCTGGATAGGGTCACGTGGCCCACGGTCAAGGGGCCGCTCTCTGCTCTCAAGCTTTCGTTGCTCCGTCTTGGGTGGAGGATGACCAACTTCATGACTGTGGTTGACGATAGGGGTTATCAGGTTTCCCTGGGCCTTACCTCCCCCAAGTTGCTTGAAACGCTTTGCAAGGGCGCCTATCTGAGAAGTCTGGAGCGGGACTTGGGTGGTAAGTGGGGGATTGGGAAGCGTTTGTGTTTGGGCATCCCCAAATCCGCCTGCTCTTCTAAGAAGTTTACCCCTGCCCAGCAAGGTTGGATTCGTGCGTGCACCAGCTGCGCCATATGGACAGCTGACCGTGCCCTCAGTGCTGGATACGACGTGGACCCGTTATGCCCCAGGTGTAGGGTCGCCCCCGACTCCATCGCCCACAGGCAGTGGAGCTGCCTAGACGAGGAGGTCTCTGAGTTGAGGGCTCAGTTGGTCCCCGCCTCTGTTGCTGCCGACGCCCTAGCGCCCCTGTCAACTGATGCCAACAATGAGGATATATGCCTTTACACTCGAGGGGCTTT